ACTTTACACTTCACCCAGTTAATAAAAGAAACTTCAACACTCTCCTCCAAATATTTTACACATTGCATTCTCGGCATGTATTTGCAGCAGTACAACACATTACACAGTCAAAGCACATTAGTGTTGTTGTCTTAAGGACCCAGCAACGACTCTGCCCACGCTGAACACAGGAAACCAACAGAGGAGGGGAGCTGTAATATTGTAAATGTTATGAGTCTCATGTGAGTTAATCTCTTCATTTGTACTGAGCATGTGGATCATGGGAATTCACTTCTTTCATTAGTGACTGAGTGTGTGTGTTTAAGTGTGTGTGTGTGTGTGAGTGTTAATACTGCCTCTCAGTGGTCATTAACTGCCACTGAGGAGAAAAGTAGGAGCATATTCAGTGAGAGGAAGCACTCCTCTCCCCTTAGTATGACTATGATTCTCCAAGATCCTCAGCCTAAGAAAACCATGTTATCATTTTTATTCCATGAATTCGGGTTCTGATAGTGTTTGTGTGATTGTAGTGTGTGTTTAGCAGTGGTGGAAATTAACTACATTTACTCAAGCACTGTGTATTTTAGAACACAATTTGATGCACTTTTCGCCAACGTCACACGTTTTTCCATTTTTATGGAAAAGTCTGCTCTATTTATGAGTCTGCTCTACCACCGGCAGCTGGTTTCAGTTGACCATTATGTTTCTGGTAACAACCACTACAGTAGAGTTGAAAATAAACCGGCATCGTGCAGAGCGTCATGTAATGCGCATCAAGTGCCACACCTAGCACACACCGGATGCGTCATGCTGTAGATCGTTAACTGACAACCAAGCAAAGTTATTACATATTTTACTGAAAGATCTATACCTCTTCCACCTCTGTGTTAGCTTAAAATCATGTGTGGACACCTTAAGTGCCGATCTCCACAGCTATGACTCAACAGGCGATGTCTTTTTGGATATGGTCTGTGGGTCATTTAGCTCAAGATATTTCTCAATCCTAACAAGTCTCTTGTCATCCATTCTTCGTCACACACGAGACACAGCGACAGAGTTCTCTTTGCATCAATGGTGAGGAGAGGAGTCGAGCTGCCACAGGAGCAGAGAAAAAGAGCTGCTACGGGAGTTGGTATGTACAAGTAGAGAGCGAGTGGAGGAAAGGTGCATTTAATTCCGGAGGAGGCAAGATTGAAACAGTGATGTGAAGTGCCACGGGGCAACCCATCCAGTAGTGCCAGCATTTCACACGGTGACATTACATACAAAGTCAAGGCAAAGACATGAATAGACGCGAATTTGCACCAGGCAACTCAAATGACATAAACATGTGAAATTTGCTCTGATCACATATTCACGTGAGCTGAAAATTTCTCAACTTGAGTGAGAAATTCCCATGACTCTGTGTTGCAAAAGACTGTCAGCATTGAGATCAAGTTAAGATTTGACTGACGTTACTGTGAATCAGAATTGGAGGACAAACTTATTGTTGCCGTCTGTGGACTCCTGAAACTCTTCAATTTAATGGCAGAACAGAGACAGAACAAACAAGGAGAGGGCACAGAGATTAGTAAGTGAAGCCACGAGACTACATGGTAGGTTCAGAAAATATGCATCTGTGACTTGTGTAAGCTATTTTGTTGAGCTGCTTCTTAGCAAAATGGTCTGAGTCATTTAAGTTAGTCTTTTATTGAGGAACGTAAACAACAGAAGGAGTGAAGCATTAATGCACTGCCATGACCGTATGAAAATAATGGAATGTTGCCGTCTTGGTTCACGCTGGTTCAGAGCATGATGCCTCTGTCTTCACACTGTTTATATCACTTGATCCCAGCTATCATGTGTATTCTACTGCAAACTAAGTTAGCCATTAGCTGCCTTCCCCAGTTAGCTAGCACAACTATTAGTACAGCTGCTAAGGATGAATATTTGCCAAAAAATCACTCCAGCAGCCACATATGTGCATGTTTTGCTTTCAGTGCGAGCACAGACTAATGTGTTGCCTACACATTCTAGTACTGCTGGGCTAACAAGTATTTCACTCTTTGTTCTTTCACTTATGTTTAACTCTGTGTGCATGTTTTCAAAATCCATTACTGTATTTACTTTCTATAGGGGCTTCGTGCTGATCTTTAACTGGTGATGATGTCTTTCTGGCAGTTCCTGAGGGACAGTGTAACAAATTTGACAGCTAGTCTAGACTCTTATAAATCCATCTTGTTACTGCACTAATTTATTTTTACAATAACTTTCTTTATGGTCTCCAATACTGCTTCACAGATTCACAAAGACTTCCAGTAAATTCAAATGCAATTCCTCATCTATAACCTTTACTGGAAGTGTATTTAGCTTGCTGCATACTGTAGCTGTGCACCTACACACAGTGTGTGGGCAGAAGAACTACACTGCATTTCAGAGGGAGATATTGCACTTTGTACTACTACTGTATGTTTAACTACATTTATCTGACAGCCGTGGTGACTACTTTACAGATCAGGATTTTATACATAAAACATAAGGTCTATTTGTAAACGATGATTCATCATCATATGTTAAACTACCCAACTGTGTAAAGTAATAAAAATGAGCTCCACCTTCATCAGTTAGAGCTAAAAATGGTGCTTACACATTAATGCATCAATAATTACAACCAGTAACATACTATATAAAAATATAACACTGACAGGATTATTCTACCCAGTGAGTACTTATACCTTTAATGCTTTTAGTACATTTTTAGGATGATGTTTTCATACTTTTACTAGGGCTGCTTCTGAACAGTTGACCAAACCTTGGTCGACCAGAAAGGTCATTAGTCGACAAGATTTCATTGGTCGCTGAGTCAAACAAAAAAACATAAACATGCAACTCTATTAGGAGCTGTGTCTTGTCAACATAAATCCAAACCTACATGACTGGACCATGTGGGGATTTAATTTGGAAGGACAGAGACAAGTGTCCACGCTCAGCAGTCAGACAGGAGGCAGGTTAATTTCTGGTGATATATGAATACTGACTGTGAGTTCTAGATTATTTAGGAAAAGATGAAAAAAAGAAAACATAACTGGTCTTTACAAGATAGTTGATACAAATAACTGATTCCAGCTGTTTTATATGATCATCAGTGAGGAGCTCACAGATATCATCAACTGTCTTCCTCTGTTTGTATCGGCTGTGATGTCATCTGACCTGACTGCTGATAGGCTGCTCAGCAAGCCAGGTCACTGTCACACACACACACACACACACACACACACACACACACACACAGCCTGGCCTAGAGGAGCTGAGTGCAGGCCAAAGAGCTTTTCATGGTCGAGCGTGCATCATATAATGGACGGAGAGAGAGAGGGAGAGCAACATGACCATTCAGGCTGAGTGGTGTGTCTGTGTGTCTGTGTGTGTGTGTGTGTGTGTGTGTCCAGTAGAGAGAGATTTAATCTTTAATCAGTGTTATTGTAGCCTGTACACTGATATAGACTCATAGTATGTAATTACAGCTGCTGCTGCTGCTGCAGATACACACATGACCATTCAGGCTGAGTGGTGTGTGTGTGTGTGTGTGTGTGTGTGTTGTTTGTTTTCTTTTCCTGAGTTTTCCTGTATTTTTATTTTGGAACTTATTTATTTAATGCTTTTTGCTTTACAATACAATTTATGTTGTCTTGTTTGAGTGGAACCTAGACATCAGCTCCACTTATCACTAAAACGACAGATTTCCAATGGAAGCTCTGCATTGTGTTTTTTGATCAAGAAAATAAGGACAATTAACTGGAACTCTTAATTATAAGGTAATTCCCATAGAGACATCATCATGACAGATTTCTGTAGACACAGACACATTAACACAACCAAATTCAATGCAGTGATATTGAATCGATGCAAGCGGTGTCTTTGGGAAATGTCAGTGTGGTTTCGGAGCAGTGCCACGTCCCAGTTTAATGACCTGCTGCTGTCTGCTCCACTTTAACTCCTTAGCACATTCTCACTCTGTTGACCAGCAGTTTGACTTTAAAAACTGGGTCTGAATCGCTAAAGACGCTCTGAAACTGTTCCAGTCACAGCTGATCACAGACCCAAAGAGGGTCAGGCAATGTGAAAGGCTTCAGCTGTAATATCTGCAGCAGAGGGCGCTGAAAGGACTTAGAAAACCAAAAATAATGAAAATACTCATAGACCATCTCATTAACAGTTTAAACATGTGACATCAGAACTTATGGGAAATTAGCTTAGTTGTTTTCATGCCCAGATTCAGAGGAGAATATGGATACCACTGTCATGTCTGTGCATTGAATATGAACCAGCAGCCACTTAGCACTAGCTGAGCATAAAGACTTCTTGGCTTTCAGCATCATTTTTGTCATTCCTTCCTCCAAACACAACAAACCCTGATTCACATATCACCTTTGAGATGCTCAGTTCATTTCAGGTAACATGGGTACTGTGAACTTTGGCCAGCGTGTTAGGAGGAGCTACAAATTTCATATTACCAACATGACTGACAGGTGTTTGGGTGGAGCTAACATTACGCAGACAGAGGCTGAGTATGTGATCTGAGTTAATGCAGGGTCAGTTTATTCTCTCAGGGGTCAATCTGAGACACACACGCACACACACACACACACACACACACACACACAATCTCTTTTTCTTTCTGACCTCTTCCAGATGGCAGCAGCTGTTGATGATGGATGAGCCAAAGTCACTCTCAATCAGCAGACAGAAAGTCAGACTTTACAAATTAATGTCCTGTTTAGCACTTAATGTCCATCTGGTTACCGTGACAACTTGCATTTCTGCGATAGCCTACTGTCTGGATTAGAAGCACAGACTACTGACTACTCATTTCCTCTCGTGCAGGTACAGAATTCACATGCATGTCATGTTACATGTAGTCTTTGTGGTGCATTCAAGTGCAATTTTCAACAGGAGTCGTGAGGCAACATAAAACGTTTGATGAATCAGTAAATGTCGGGGCAGTGCACCAGTAGTAGTAGAAGCAGTTATAGCGCTGGCCCTACCTGCAGTCGTGCTGGATGAAGCGTTGAGGCCCGTACTGAGGCCTGGGGTTGGAGTTAGTCCTGCAGTCTGGGAGCTGAGCCCTGTGGCCTGGGGAAGGGACCTAGACTGAGTCCCTGCTGGAATCAGAGACATAAAGACGCATTAGAACATACAAGGAACTGATGAAAATAAACTACTGGTCCTACTGCTGTTACTGCTGTAACGGTACCCGTGCAGATACAACTGCTAATTCTGCTGCTACAATCACATGACAGCCGTGGTCGTAGTGTACCTGCTGCCTGTTGTCCTGTCTCTCCAGCCTGAAGCTGTCTCACTCTTCGAAGGTGAGACCTGCCATTGTAGTGTATCTGGGCCTGAGCAGCAGAGGTCAGCTGCAGATTACACACGTCACACAGCGAGTAGGCTCCGCCCTGACCTAAAAGAGAAAACAACAAACTGTAGAAAAATACACCAGACTGTAGGAGAAAACTACAAGGATATGTCAGACTGTCGGAAAAACTACAAGGATGAGTCAGACTGCAGGAGAAAACAAAACATCAAGGATGAGTCAGACTGTAGGAGATAACAAAACATCAAGGATGAGTCAGACTGAAGGAGAAAACAAAATATCAAGGATGAGTCAGACTGTAGGAGAAAACTAAACATCAAGGATGAGTCAGACTGTAGGAGAAAACAAAACATCAAGGATGAGTCAAACTGTAGGAGAAAACAAAACATCAAGGATGAGTCAGACTGTAGGAGAAAACAAAACATCAAGGATGAGTCAGACTGTAGGAGAAAACAAAACATCAAGGATGAGTCAGACTGTAGGAGAAAACAAAACATCAAGGATGAGTCAGACTGTAGGAGAAAACAAAACATCAAGGATGAGTCAGACTGTAGGAGAAAACAAAACATCAAGGATGAGTCAGACTGTAGGAGAAAACAAAACATCAAGGATGAGTCAGACTGTAGGAGAAAACAAAACATCAAGGATGAGTCAGACTGTAGGAGAAAACAAAACATCAAGGATGAGTCAGACTGTAGGAGAAAACAAAACATCAAGGATGAGTCAGACTGTAGGAGAAAACAAAACATCAAGGATGAGTCAGACTGTAGGAGAAAACAAAACATCAAGGATGAGTCAGACTGTAGGAGAAAACAAAACATCAAGGATGAGTCAGACTGTAGGAGAAAACAAAACATCAAGGATGAGTCAGACTGTAGGAGAAAACAAAACATCAAGGATGAGTCAGACTGTAGGAGAAAACAAAACATCAAGGATGAGTCAGACTGTAGGAGAAAACAAAACATCAAGGATGAGTCAGACTGTAGGAGAAAACAAAACATCAAGGATGAGTCAGACTGTAGGAGAAAACAAAACATCAAGGATGAGTCAGACTGTAGGAGAAAACAAAACATCAAGGATGAGTCAGACTGTAGGAGAAAACAAAACATCAAGGATGAGTCAGACTGTAGGAGAAAACAAAACATCAAGGATGAGTCAGACTGTAGGAGAAAACAAAACATCAAGGATGAGTCAGACTGTAGGAGAAAACAAAACATCAAGGATGAGTCAGACTGTAGGAGAAAACAAAACATCAAGGATGAGTCAGACTGTAGGAGAAAACAAAACATCAAGGATGAGTCAGACTGTAGGAGAAAACAAAACATCAAGGATGAGTCAGACTGTAGGAGAAAACAAAACATCAAGGATGAGTCAGACTGTAGGAGAAAACAAAACATCAAGGATGAGTCAGACTGTAGGAGAAAACAAAACATCAAGGATGAGTCAGACTGTAGGAGAAAACAAAACATCAAGGATGAGTCAGACTGTAGGAGAAAACAAAACATCAAGGATGAGTCAGACTGTAGGAGAAAACAAAACATCAAGGATGAGTCAGACTATAGGAGAAAGTAAAACATCAAGGATGAGTCAGACTGTAGGAGAAAACAAAATATCAAGGATGAGTCAGACTATAGGAGAAAACAAAACATCAAGGATGAATCAAACTGTAGGAGAAAACAAACATCAAGGATGAGTCCAGACTGTAGGAGAAAACAAAACATCAAGGATGAGTCAGACTGTAGGAGAAAACAAACATCAAGGATGAGTCAAACTGTAGGAGAAAACAAACATCAAGGATGAGTCAGACTGAAGGAGAAAACTAAACATCAAGGATGAGTCAGACTGTAGGAGAAAACAAAACATCAAGGATGAGTCAGACTGAAGGAGAAAACTAAACATCAAGGATGAGTCAGACTGTAGGAGAAAACAAAACATCAAGGATGAGTCAGACTGTAGGAGAAAACTACATAGAAGAGTCAAAGACAGGCTATAGGAGAAAACTAAAAGGATAAGTTAGTCCGTAGGAGAAAGCAAAACATCGAGGACAAGTTGAACTGTAGGAGAAAACTACAAGGACAAGTCAGTATGAAGGAGAAAACTACAAGGATGAGTCAAACTGTCGGAGAAAAAAACCCATCAAGAATGAGTCAGACTATGGGAGAAAACTACAAGGGTGAGTCAGATTGTAGGAGAAAACTACAAGAATGGGTCACACTGTAGGAGAAAACTACAAAGATATGTCAGTATATGGGAGAAAACTACAAGGATGAGTCAAACTGTCGGAGAAAACAAAACATCAAGAATGAGAAATGGGTCAGACTGTTGGAGTAAACGACAAGGATGAGTCAGAGAAGGACTACAGGAGAAAAACATCAAAGATGAGTCAGACTGTTGGAGAAAACTAAACAGATGAGTGAGAATGTAGGAGATAATTCAGAGCATTGGTTCTGGAGCATGTCAGTTACCTGTGGACGGAGTCTGCTGGACAGACAGACTGGTACTTGTAGGGGTTGGGGGGTCCATCAGCTCTTGACACATTCCTCCAAAGGCAAAGATCTGCCCCCTCTCCAGGAGCTGAGAGGGGCTGAGAGGAGTCTTCATCCCTGAGAAAGGAGAACAAAAAGACACATAAATAATGATTACTCATGCTGAACATCATTGATATTTATCTGTAGATGATATAAACTGTGATAACAGGACCCAATCTGCCCACACTTAATGTCAGATAATGATTTAAAATAAGTGATCCATAACACGACTTTATATATTACCACCTCACCATAATACAAATCCACTCTAGATGTAAAACAGTAATGACCAAACGCAGCAACAGTGCATACAGTGCTGATGTAAGCGTGACACCGACCACAAGAACAAGTAATGACACTAACAGGAGACACTCAATGAGGGACAGACAGGTGGACAGAAAGACGGGCGGAGAGGAGCAAGGCCCGAATGACACCGGATGCAGAGTGTGAAGCATCAGACGCTCACAGGGAGAGTGATGAAGTAATGAGTAAGAGGAGAGAGGAAGGATGACATACTGTATGTGTGTGTGTCAAGTGTACACTGTGTGTGTGTGTGCGTGTGTAGGTCAGTCTATGACTGTGTCCATCTGTTGTTCCGTTCGCTCTGCCAAGTCACATGACCTCTGACAGGACACACACCCACCCACCCAGGTTTTTTTTTTCATCATCAGTTATCTCGTATGACCTACATGCATTACTACTGTATTTAAATTCTCTTTGGGGATTTGGATCAGATTTGGATCATCTCATTAATGCTGTAACGTCACACCATTGGCTGAAGGCGCAGGAGGAATTGTTACCTAATGATGGTTTTTAATTCACAGAGTGGTATAGCAGCTGCTGGTGCCCATAAGGTCCGCACTGGAGAGAAAATCAAGGTCTCTGGTATCGACATCGACACACCAGCTGGACCAGCTATGCATTCAAGCCCTCTGGGGCAAATTTGTCGTTTGGTCTATATGAATAAAATTGACTTGAACTGACTTGACATTTAGGAAGACAGCCATCAGAAAGTCACTGCTGTTATTTCATAGCCGTAGGTCAGCCTGGGGGACCTATTGAGAACCATATAGCAGCTATAGTGCAGTATTTTGCTCCTGATTGCAGCAACAAAGTGGTCTGGATGTGTCAGAAAGCTATGTGTCAAATTCAGAGTTGTGAAGTGAGAGTAAAAAAAATGAACAGCTGTGAAAGTATCTGGTTCTCTGACATAAAATCAAAGATACAAGCCTATGTACAGTATATGTATGTATATAAAAACATAAGGTGAGAAATTAACTTCGACTCCCAAGGTGCCGTTTTATCAAGCAATATCCAATCACAGATCTTAAAATTATGTTACATACGCTGCCAACGGCATGTCGAATTCAAAGATTACGCTATAGAGAAAACAGGTTTTACATTCTTTTGAAATTTTATATTAATTAGGCAACTGATTCACTGGCCTCCATAGCAACAGTGACTGAGTCTCATGGGCACTGTAGTATCTAGAGCTTTCTACTATGCCTGTAATGGGTGTTGTTTGGACCCAACTGCAGCACAAAGGAGACCAGGAACAGTTGGGAACAGTGTTTACTGTTGCATTTCAGCAGGTACAGGGCAGGACTAATAAGTAGCACACAATACAGTTCGACACTCCCATGAAGTCTCCCAACAAAGGCCACACCGCCCTGGATGGTAAAGAGGCTTAACCGCGCAAGTAGGCAATTTTATACTTCTGCGTCAAATTGACACCGTAGACTCTACATCAACATAGACCCTATGTCATAGCCTGACATGCACCTCCCAAGAAATTTCTGTAAGCTGAAACCATTTCCCTCAGTGGAAACAAAGCTTTTATTTACTTTAATTTCACAGATAAGAAACAATAAATTGTGAAGACAGTAAAGCCTCCACAAAAAGTCTTGTGTGTGATTTATCCTGGCTTCATATGAGCAGAGGAAATCTCCGCTCGTCATTAGGCTAATTTATACAATATGAAATGCCATAGGCTTATGCTAATTATGTTAGCATGTTATATTTGTTTGGAAAACATGTTTAGTATAAGACAGTTGTTTTGTCAGTGAACCTTGTGAGTTGTAATGGAGCCGAACTTTGTAATGTTACTTTTGTTAAATGTTGCTGTTGTCCCTGGCTTCATATGAGTAGAGGAAAAGTCTGCTAGCCACTAGGCTAATTTACACAGTGTAAAATGCCATAGGCTTGTGCTAATAACGTTAGCATGTTGTATTTGTGGAGCAAATGTGTCCAGATAAGTGTTTGTCTGTGAATGCTGCAAGTTATAGTGAAGCTGATTTGTGTACTTGTGTTTGAAATTGTCTCTATTAAGCCATGTTTAATGTGTGTTTAGAATCAACTAAAATTTACAGCACTTCACAGAAACCCTGAGATCCGAACAGCTCCTTCTAATTTAAAAGCAGATGTGTGGAAATACTTCAGCTTCTACAACGTTGACGGCGGAAGCGAACTGGACAAGAGCCACGTTATATGTAAGCTGTGTCGTGCTAAAATAAAATACTTTGGCAACACAACAAACATGAGAAGCCATGTAACTCGATTCCACCTGACGGAGGAGTCAGGGAGACGGCAGGCTGTTGTTGCTGCGGCTACTAGTGGCGCTACCGACCAGAGAACAATCGAGGAAGCAATTAGAAAGCTGCCACCCTCATCGGAAAAGGCCAAGCGAATTATGAAGGCCATCGGGGCATTTATTGCCAAGGATATGCGTCCTTATTCTGTCGTGGAAAATCAGGGATTTAGAGCACTGCATACATTGGAGCCCAGATACACCATCCCATCCCGATGCTATTTCACCGACACGGCCATCCCGACACTCTACCATCAAACCAAAACAGAAGTCATGGCCTCGCTGTTGAAGGCAGGTAGGAACGCAGTTACATGTGATGCGTGGACGTCTGTCGCCACCGAATCATTTGTTACTCTAACTACGCATTTTATCTTGTGATTTAAGATACCTGTTGTTACCTTTGGTTCCATACAACGAAGTTGTAACTTTCCAGTTTGCACGCATTTCCATTTATATGTTTAATAAAATATAATGGAAATGAATTCAACTGTTTCTTATTACAAATGCACTGTTTTTAAAAATTGCAAGTGTTGAATGCTTATTCAGTGAGACAAAAAGAAATGTGTGTTGTGAAAAAGTGCATCAATATAAATAAATTAAAGATGCATCAATAATTGTGCCCAAAGATTTCCACCCCTACCTGCCACTGACTAGAGCTTTGGAGGTGTAACTGCAGAGTGACACAGACACACCACCACATAAGTATAAATGCTCACAACGGCGTAGGCCACGTGCGTAGGCTATGGTGTAGGGTCTGCCGCACAAGTATTTATCCCCCTTCAGGCGTTAGCCCAACAGGAAACACAGTTCAGTCCAGTAACAGGCAATGGTACCGTGGCAGAGCTGTCAGAAGTAGGTATGAGAAATCAGTCAGGAACAAAGTGCTGGAGAGTCTTGCATGAGTGCCAAAGAATAATCTGGCATCAAGTGACTAAGAGGCTGGAGTATATGTGCTGGCTGAGAGTAATGAGGAGCAGGTAAACTGAGTTGGCTCGATGAGGTGGGCGTGGTGGACAGGCAGGAGCGGGAACAGTATAGACAAGTGATTAGTTTGCAGGTAGGAGTGGCAGAGAGGCAGGATGAGGGGAAAATGACTGACTGAGGGGCGAATGACTGTGCATGCAGAAAAATGCAGGTAACTAGGAAAGTAAAACTGTGACAATGCCAGACTGATGGACAAATAATCTCCGAAAAAAGTTGAAACAATAAAGACATATCATCCAGGAGAGGCCTGTGTTTTGTTAGGTAACATTTAAGATATTGTTTAACAGTATTGTTTAACAGAAAAACCCTCTCAAAACCAGCGGCTCCTCTCATTTCCCGACTCTATCGAGATGTGACATCAATTCCTGCCTAGCCTCAGATCCACTATCTCCAAATTTCATGGCAAACAATGAATGTCAATCTCATGGTGGCGCTCAAGTTGGGAATCCAGGAGTTCGCCAAAGTCTTTAGGTCACATTATCTGGGAAATAAAACGTTTCCTGGCAATCCATCCAATAGTTTCTTTTTGTTAGATATGTTTTAGATATAAAATTCTCAGCCAAATATACAGGCCCTCATTTATCAATCAATCTTACAAACTGGTGCAGATCCGAGCACTGAAATCATCTTATGATAGGGTTCGAGTGTGATTCATGAAACGTTCTCATCTCGTCAGTCGCAGCATATGAATGATTGGGTGTTAATAAATGTGACGGCTGAAAACAATCAGCATTTCAATATTCCATATCCCAATATGTCCTCAGTTTAGAGGCCTCAACCTGAGAGTTTACAACATTCAGGGACGTAAGATGGCCAAGAAGAGAAATGTCTCTAAACTAGAAATGGAAACACTGATGTCTGAAAAGTGGCATCAAAGGAAGAAGAAGAAACGCAGTACATGAAGAAATTACCGCTGTGGTCAGCATCATTGCAGTGTTCGAACTCCAGCTGAGGTCGGAATATTTAATTTATACTTCATGATATGTACCAACCTATGGCCCACATGTATTAATGATATTAGCCTATATATCATATAATATTGATATTTAGGGTTGCAACGGTATGCCTACTCTCAAAGGGGAGACTTTTTACACATACGTGCCACTCAGTTTTTAACATACTCACACAGGAATGGAACAGCCAACAGGAGCAACTTGGGGTTCAGTATCTCGAGCCACTGATCTTCCGATTGGTGGACGACCCGCTCTACCTCCTGACGTAAGCTGCCCCAGTGGTCATGAGATAAATCAATAGCAAACCTAAAGCCTCCATCACTTTCACACTTCCTGTCTTTCTACCTGTCTCTCTCCTCCAGCTGGTTGTTAGTAGTCGACTTTATGTTCTGCAGACAGCTGGTTAATCTGCCACTGTGATGAATTAGCCACAAAATGCACACACACACACACACACACACACACACACACTCACACTCACACATCAGAGCCAGCTGATGCTGACATCAGCTTTAGCGAGGGAAGGATTAAATATATCTGCTCTATTGAGC